AGTTCCGTCACGCATTCGAACAGGCTGCAGCCCTCGTGCGGAAGCAGGACGACTGGTGCGACCAGGCCGAAAGGTCTGGCATTGACAGCCTAGACGACTACCTGCCGCGGGATCTGCATTGGGAGAGCTTGGGCGCTGTCCTTCGGGGTCAGGTTCACGTCAACACGCACTGCTACACGATTCCTGACCTCGAGGCCTTCATCGACCACACCAACGAGTTCAAGTTTCCGCTGCGGGCGTTTCACCATGCCCATCAGACCTTCTTGGTGCCTGAGGTAATGCAAAGTCCCCGTTCTGGGGTTCTAGTCCTTTCTTTTTTGCTAATTATTCGATAAGATTCTCAAGCGAGCTTGGGGAGGTCGCCCGCCCGCTTCCGCTCTCTTCGCTGACAACATGTATTACAAGACCGAAGCCTACGTGGGATCAGAGTATGCTGGCAAGATTCTGTGGAATAACGGTCTCACTCCAGTTTACGTCAGCGATAACCCCGTCATCAACGCTCAGCACGTGCTATTTGAGGCCGCGAAGGCATACCGCTATGGTCTCCCCTACCATGTGGCGCTCGCTGGCGTCACGACAGCGTCGGCAGAGCTTCTTGGCCTGGGAGAACGGCTGGGCAAGATCAAGCCAGGATTCGACGCTGACATTGTGGTCTGGGACAGTGATCCGCTCAGCATCGGAGCCGCGCCTGCGCAGGTCTGGATCGACGGCTTCGCGCAGTTTGAGAACCCTGTCGAGCTCGACAAGCCTCTGAAGGGGCCAATCGCCGCACCGCATTCGAGCGTAGCTTTGAGCGGCGGCATCTCGCATCACAGAAATATTGTCTTTACTGGTGTCACCAAGATTCTGCTCTCGGACGGCAAGAGTCGGACGACCTTGAACGGACCCGTCAACGTTGTCGTGTCCGAGGGCGAAATCACCTGCACAGGTGAGTGTAGCATGGAGGTCAGCGTTGCTCGCCAAGGGCCGTCGCACGAGTTCATCGCCCTCGAGGACGGCCACCTCACGCACTCATTCACAGCGTTCGGGTCGCAGATCGGGCTGAACGCCATAGATTACGAGAGTAATACGGCCAACGGAGAGAGCACCAAGTTTAGCCGCGGCGTCGACGGTTTGGCACTGGACACGAAGAAGCTGCGCGTGGCGCATCAATACGGCATCACGCGGGCCGTCTCGGCGCCAACGTTCTCTGGGGGACTGACGCACCGGGGCACCAGTGTGGGATTCGTCACGGACGCACAGCACGCGCTCGAGAAGGGTGCCGTTTGGTCGGAGGATGCTGCTGTGCATTACACTTTCACTCTTGACGTCAAGCAGGGCGATACGCCCTCCATCTCGACTGCAGTGGGCGCGCTGCGCAAGGACCTGCTGGAAGCAGTCTCGAACAACGACACAATCTCCGACCGGCACTCGGAGCAGGCTTTCCTGAAGGGGGTGGTGGAAGGCGAAATGCCTTCTGGTGTTGACAGTGCACAGCGCGGACACGATTTTCTGCCGTGCTGCGACTCAGGCCGATGTTGAGGACGTCATTGCCGCATCGGAGTCGCTCTCGACAAACTCCGCATCGTCATCCTG